CTAACGATAAAACTATCGCGAAAATATTAATATTGATAAAGTAAAATAAGTACTACAAACGTATCGAGTTCTATGTGGAAGGTATGCATAATATCGTAATCTTAATCGATTGGACATGGTCCATTGGATCGATACTGCTTACTAGGTACTTAGGTATTGCTAACAACCAATCAAGCGTTACATTAATTAGGTACATGGATTGATGTATGTGCATTGATAAGATATGCAATAGGCCGATAGAGTCCAGAACGTATATCTCTACTCCTACTCTTCCCACGGATGTTAGAAGAGGAGCTGACCAAGGGACTGCATATTGAACAGAAACAGGAACTCGCCTTTTTTTAGAAAGGGAAAACTATCCAATACCTTCTCCCGCCTAGGTGAGAAGAGAGGGAGTGTCAGACTCTTACTTACTAAAAACCACCCCGTTGCTACTGCTGCGTTTCGAGCCGGAACCCCGGCCCGGACCCGTGAAGTCCTCCGCGGCTCCGTATCGTCATCAGCCCTATTGGGCCTCATCCGTGGTGGTCTCATGACTCTTTGAGGCGCATGTGAAACGCGACGCGCCGTACGCTCGGGTCGGGCGGCGAGTCACCCGTCCATCGCTCGCGGTCCGCAGGCCCGAGCTTACGGTATCTCCAACTCGCTTAGCAAGCGTGGAGAACTGGAGATTGTGACTAACCCATTAGTGTAGTTTCTTAGTTCAGGAGTAGACTGTCTCAGACAGTTAATGTTATTTACTTCGCCATTGTTGGACATAAGCTGATGCCAAGGTCTCATTCCAATATGTAGCCCATTCCCTTATTTTGAGGGACAAAAATCATCAAATATTTCCTTCCGCCCCGGGTGAGGCGAGAGGAAGTATCTCTTACTGACTAAAAACCACCACGTTTCCACTCCTGCTTCGAGCAGGAACCCCTGTATTAACTCGCGTCGTCAGCTCCATTTGTGGTGGTCTGATGGCTGTTTGAGACCCACGAGTCTTTTAGTCACCACCGGGAAGAAAAGAGGAAGTGGCTTTGCCATCACCTTGGCAATCTTGTCATTCCTATATATATAATATCTTAAGTCATAACTATTGGTCTCAGAAAACAAGAAGTGCATGTTCTACTGCTACACAAATAATAGTAATTCATAACACAATTAATTGCAAAAACCTTGGCTTCAAAATTAGCTAACAATGAATATAAGTCGTTCGTTGCGGTTTCCTGCTCAAAATAATATTTTCACTGACATAAGGCCAACGTAACTTGTAAATATGAGTAGGGCTGGCTCGTTCAGATTCTGTCTTAGCCGGCTAAGGAAAAAAGGTTTAAGATCTTTTTAGGTATCAATGCTTCTTTTCTTAGCAGTGATTCCAATTCTTCTGGCAGCAATTCAAATCTTTAGGCCATAATAACATCATGTCTTTTATTTTCTAAAAAGCGCGAAGAGAAACGTTAGGTAATTAACTCGTCAAGTACCGTCATTATAGACACAATTATAGAACAATAGGTTGCGGTCACCGGTGACCGCTTGGTGTTTGACAGTTTAATGCACTTTGCTCCATTCCGTGGAGACAAACATCGCAAAGCCGAAATCGAATTCGAGCCTAGGCACTTTGACAATCCGTGTTTGCGGATTACTTAACCCTCTTTAAAGTTTATTTCATAATTTTCATATAAATTCTTTAAAGTATAGGTATATTAATTCTTTAAAGTTTATTAAATGTCCTCTTTCTGCAGAGTCCCCAAGCGGTCACCGTCACCGTTGACCGCTCTCCTCTTACTTCATTGTAGACCCTATTTCCGATGTTTAGAGACTACTTTTGTATAACTAGTTTATTTTCCTAAATCCGCTTTACCTTGCTCGTCAAAGGACTAAACTATGTAAATAATAAAGCATTTTAATTAAAAGAAACTCCGTTCAATAAGCTAGTTTACGTTCGAGTGAGTCATAATCGTAAAAGTAGGTTTTATGTCTATGGTGTATTGTGTTGTCTGTGCTAATATTGTAGTTGCGCGCGCATTTTCGGCGTACATACTAAATATTTAACTTTGAACATACAACGTGTCCAAAAATAAAGTTAGTCAGCAATGAAGCACTCGTTTTTAAGGGTTGGTTGCCGTAAATATATTGTTAAACTATATTTTATTTATTCTTTTCTAATTTACATAGATCATTAATTTCTGTATGTTGTCTTATGTGTGTGAAACATTGCATTTTGTTTAAGCCGTTATAAAGTTGTTGATTAATGATAACTGTCCATGTTGCGTTATTTGACGATGCATTCATCCTTGACAAACAATAGGCCTACAAATGACAAATACTTGCATCTTGCTTAGAAGCAATGGAAACTCGAAGCGGCTACGTTAAATCCGCCTAAAATGACGGAACGTGGGCTGAAGAGTTTAGAATTCCTAATTTATTTTAAATTATTGCTTAGAAGCACAATTTTCTCATATGGTTCTTCCTCTCAAAATCAAAATGATTGTGCTAATAATGTCATATTTTAGTGTTATACATAGGTGTAACATAAAAAACCACAGCCTATTTTTAGCTTTCAAAAATGTTTGCACTCTCCGCTGCATATAAAAGTTACCAAACATAGAAGTAGAGTATGAGTAACATTAAAACCCACTCAGGGCTACGTGACTCATTTGAAAGGATACTTCAGTTCGTGATTGAAGTGTCTTTTGAACAAAGTTCTGTTGCAATAGCTAATTTTAGAATGCATGGCACTTCTCTTTTACGTAGCACGTCAATTAGAGTAGGTCTTGCTTATGTATTTATGGTTTATAATAGTAATTTATTATTGAAGTCTAAAAATATATTATAAATAATTGATAGTATCTGTGACGTATTGGAGAGGCTGGTGTTCAGACAGACAGACAAACGGGCAGATGGATAGATAGATAGATGACCTGATAAAGGTAGTCGCAAAGATCACTTTTTAGCGACCGATCTGGAAGCCACTTGACAAGATCTTTTTTTTTAATCGTTGCCCCACACTAGGATTATCTCCTGTGTCGTGGGTGCGTTTACAAACAAACAAGTTCACATACACATGACACCCAGACTCGAAACAACAATTTGTGGATCACACAAAGTGTTGTTCCGTGCGGGAATCGAACCCGTGACACGTTGCACGGCAGCCGGGTGCCCAGCCACCGCACCAACCGTGCAGTCATCTAACTGCATAATGAAGTTTAGCAGTGGATATCTTGTGACTCTGATATTTTGACCTTCTGTGTTGTAAAGAATAGGGACGATAAAGATTTTGATTTCTAAAAAATAAATCAAAAACATGTCTTAACAAAAAAGTGTAACGAATGGAATTTCTTGCTCGTTCTTCTCCATTCGAATCCACATTTTGGAATGAGCACCTAGCTTCACTGACTGACTTAGTGACAGACTATTATTCATTTTGTATTTGTTGACGTTTCAAAAGTACCAACTTATCGTTTAATTGAAATAAATGCTTTGACTTTGACTTCGAAAAAACTATGAACCACACTATATTTAGTAGACAAGCACACACCTTTATAGTCTTACTTATCTATTCTTATTCGCCCACATAATTCTTTGAATTTTTTAAGGCCATTTTTATGATACATTACATTACACACATCTATGTATAAGCGACATTTCTACATAGTCCATGTATAATAAATATGTAATGAAAATCTAAAAGTACAATATAAATTCGCAAAATATTCAATTACATACATTATTCAGAAAAATACAAGCAACAAACTATATTTTTTTTTTGTATTTAAAATCTGTTTATAATTGTGTCGACTTGACGCGACAGCCCTGACAAGTAAGTCGGTTAGTAGGTTCAGTAGAGCGATGCATTCCGTTTCCATGTGGAGTGACGCGTGTACGTATAGTAATGGATAAACAAAACGATACAGGTAGCTATATTGGTTAATAATTAAACTATTTTAATTAGGATTAGAACTTTCTAGGTCTGTTTTTAACCACGAAAGAGGTTATCTCGTTGCGTACCTATATCTTGCCTAAGAATATAATTTTTTTTGTGCGATTTTGTGACTTTACGATTTTGCAGTTTATCGATTCCGATTATTCTTTTTTTAAATGTTTTTAAGTCCTTTTTCTTTTCGATGTGTTTTGTGTGTGTTTATTTAAGTTAGGGCTTTGTTTATTTAAGTTAGTAAACTTCGTTTTCCGTTCCGCGTTAGTTTTATTGTCCTATTTATAGAACAATATCTGTTATTCATAATTTTCTATATTGATTTAAATCAAGTGTTGATTATAAAAAATTCGTGACCTAGATTATAATTATTTCACTCTGACCAAAATGGTCTAAAGTTTCCAATCTATCGGACTAGCAACAGATATCAGTTAAAATTGGCGCGATCGATTTTGAAAATAGAACCCATTAATCTTATATCGATGCTGAATCTAGGTCGTTCTTGAGACTATTAATATTTTTTCCTGTGCTCAAGTTCAACGACTATTATCCGATAAACAATAATAATATGAACGACTAAGAACTGATAATTTTAGGTAGAAAATGATTAATGAGAGATTCTTCTAAAAGCAGGCTTTATTAAATTTTACAATAACAGCTTATACTACTTTAATCGCGTACCTACTTTCGAAAGTACTAAGCCGTTGGTCCGTGTCTGAACGTCTGAATTTTTAATACGATCGAAACCAGTCTGGCTCTTTGCCCCCCACCGCTCACGAAGTTCTTCGCAGTTTTTCAAGCGAATAAGTTAACATTACATATTTTACTTCAACACAGAGCGAAGGATCACGTCACGGCTCAAAACTGCATTTACCATTTTAAAAACATTCTATTTTATCATAATTTAAAAATCGAACAATGTTTTCGTGAGTCACCAGTGACTAACCAACCAGTATTATTAAAGATTCTCTTTGGTGTTGTGACTTGTGACATATAAATCCTTTTTGGAGAAAGTTGTGCTAGTTTTGCGGATCAAAGGACCATTTTTTTGTATTTATCGGGGTTTTAATAATGTGTCGTGCAGATACGAGGACGGGGACAGATGGAGCTGGTGATTCTGGGACCCTGGACATGGGGAGCCGGTCGTCATTGCACACCGGCCTTAACATGTCAGAGGACGAGCACTGGGAGATGAACTACCATGAGGCTGCTATTTACTTAGAGGTAAGTGTATTTGTGAACATCACTATAAAACGCTGAGAATTATCTGTTCTCTTTCATTAATTAATGGTCAGATTGTTTCTTGTTTTTATCTATACTTCTATATCTATATCTATACTAATATTATAAAGAGGAAAGATTTGTATTTTTGTATTTTTGTATTTTTGTATGTTTGTAATGAATAAACTCAAAAACTACTGGACCGATTGCAATAATTTTTTCACCATTAGAAAGCTGCGTTATTCAGAAGTAACATAGGCTATATAATATCACGCTAGGTCCTATAGTTGTGGAGCAGTAACCAAAAATGTTTTAAAAACGGGGGAAAAGTATCGTTTCTGAGGCCTTCCGTGGCGTGCGCTGAGCATATAGTTAAAGTTATACAAAAATGCTCTATAGATGAATTGTTCATCTTAACATTATTTTTAAAAAAGTCCGCGAGAGCATATGTCTACCTTTTATAGTTTACCCATAACAATCGTTTTAATGAATGGTTCAATCCTTATAAAAGTTTGCTCTAGATAACTTTTGAATTGTTCAATCGGTTACCTTAAGACTATTAATTCATCCAAAAGATACCTATTAGGTAAGTACTTACCTACTATTTCAAAAATAATAAACTGAGAATAAATATAAATAAAACGTAAAACTATGTAAAAAATCTTAAGTCCCCCCGTGCGAAGCCGGGACGGGCCGCTAGTAAGCAATAAATATTATAATAGACTTAGTTAATAATTCTTTATTACTGTTGGGATATCTAGGTTTTTCATAGTAGCACAAACTAAGAGTATAAATTATACAATCACAATATATTTTGATTTATTGTTTATATCCGGTGTCTAATTGCCGTGTAATATTAAATTAAGTCAATTAACTAGGTATTTGTTAGTTTCATAAACTGTATTGCGGTACAGACGTACAGTGATTATATCATGCCAGGAAATTATACATTTTTGGAGCTTTTCTTCAAATTCTCAGAGTGTCTATTGTGTTGCATACAATTTGATGTGCTCATTAACCTGGTTATATGAAGACGGATACGTTTACGTAGATAGGTAAATTACCTCTTTCGTAAGTTTTCCTTTACCTTTTTCGACAATTGTTTTTTCTGCCTGCCTCGTTGGCCGAGTGGTCGCAAGTGCGTCTGCCGGGCAAGGGGTCTCGGGTTCGATTCCCGGGTCGGGCAAAGTTGTTGACTGGTTTTTTTTAAAGTTCTCAGTAGTAGCACTGAGTCTGGAATTGTGCCCGATTTATGGCAATAGGCTCACCCCCTATTACATGGGACTCATAACATAAATAGTGAAAAGTGGGTGTTACATTGTACAGTGACATAATGTGCACCTCTGCCTACCCCTTCTGATGATGTGTTTTTTTCTTCAACACAGTGCTTGTAAATGTAAGCTAAAGATTTAATACTAGCTTTTACCCCCGGCTTTACCCGCGTATTCCTGTTTTATCCCATGGGAGTATTTAATCGGGATAAAAGTATCCTATCACCTAAGTCAGACCATACTCTGCCTGTACACCAGATTTCATCACAACCCGTTCAGTAGTTCAGCGTGACTGACGGACACACATCCGAACAAAGAAACGTTCACATTTATAATAGTAGTATGATACTTACAGGTGAGAAAACAAAGTTTGGTTTAGTACCTATGTACCTACAGAAACAGTAATTAATGGTAAAAATAATCGGTAATAAATATACGATTTAGCAGGTAGGTAAGTAGGTATAACAATAGTTACCCACTGTCTCTAGAAACAAAAGCTTTATTTACTTGTCTGGATACCAAATTCTTTTCGTGCTTATTTAGTACCTATTTAGTTAAACTACTCAAGGTTAAAAAATCGATTCAAAATCTCTATTCCATTATTCTACCAAATCGATATGATGTTCCAAGATTCCTCAGAAAGATAAACAACGAAATTTCAATAAATATTGTTCAACAAAACAAACTCATCAATTCGAAAGACACTGATAAATTAGTAAACTAATGAATATTTGTTAATTGACTGGGCGGCGTTACCATAGCAACGTGGCTAACAGCCATCAATAAAATAACCCTGAAAGGTTGAATTCAATACAATACGAAACAAAAGATAATTTCGTAAGGACATTTCACACTATTGTTTCTAATGCGATAATAAGTTTTAACCTTAGTTATTTAGAGGCTTTATTATTTACCTAAGCTACTTTTGGTGATTTTATACTGAGAATAAACTAATTTAAAATAAACCATGATCACTATCGCATACGGATGAAAACGGCAAGCCAAAGTTTAATTTGAGAGGGTGGCTGGGCGTTGCCTCGTTTTTCGCTTTCCGTCGGTGTGTGCTGGGTATAGCCTGTTTTGATTTAATTTAGACGAGATCATGGACAAAATGTACATGCGTTCAGACGTTGTTAATTGAATTAGGCACAGCTAGCAGAGAGAGAATTACAAGATATATTTTTAATTAATCAATTCTTAATTACATTTATCATCATCATCAGGGATAAATGATATTCGTCTCATGCAAAGTACTGCTTAATACAAACCAGGATAGGAAAATACTGAAGCTAAAATCAGACCTTATTAGGTGCTATGTGCCACTCAAATATTTACAAAATAATATTCTCCTTTTCCAGGAAGGCTTAAATAATGAGAAGTTCGACTCTCATCCGTCGAGTCCTGAAGAGTTGCCAGCGTACCTCAGGGTTCACAATCCATGGTACCATGGTCTGGACCTCCTTGCTTCCTTAGTGCTTATACTCTTAGCTTTTACTGAAGATCCCGCCGTGCCTACATTTGAGGTAAATATTTTATGAAATTGCTGTAAAAGACTGAAATAGAACCATCACCAGGATGACAATCTTGGTGATTTTAAACTTAATCGCACTCTCACGCAACTATGCACTTGGGCTATGATTCTCCACGTGGTTGGCAATGCACTTCAAACATTCGGTGTTGTGGTGTGTCCATGGGTGATGCTGACGACTTACCTAAATTAACACACATGATCCATCAGCTAATAAAAAATAAAATAAAAAAGCAAAGAAAAAAGTTTGAACTTGATTTGTTCGTCTTTACGACTGAGATAATCGTATACAAACATCCCACTTCTCAGTAACAAATGTCCCGAATTTTCTAATTCCAGTTACCAGTATGGGCGCATGGGACGATAGAACTGTTGGCGCTGACAGTGATTGGCGTGGAGCTGCACCTGAAGCTCAAGTGGATCGGATGGGGCACCATACTCAAACACAAGAGGACAATGATAAAGGTACGAAACGGTTTGTCCAACCATTGTTTGGGTGTTATCTCCGTCTTGATTATGAAGGATTTTGCAATCGGTTTGGATTGTAAAGTCAATGAGATTAGATTTACATCTTAATTGTTTTTATTAATCCGCAATATTGTAATTTATTACTTATTTTCTCACAGGTACTAGTAAAAGAAATATTAGACAGCGGACTTCATTTTACTGATTGTCTGTCATTTATAGAATTTGGCGTATGGGGACCAAATTTTACTTATTCTCTTTGTGGTTTGACATGCCACCGATTAAAACTATCTCTAACATTTATTGTGATCTGCATTTTCCTTTTCTCAATTCCAGGGTATTACATTACTCATAATGGTGCTGGAGGCTGTAGTAGTGCTATGCCGACAGTCTTCCCACTTCCGAGTCACCAGAGCACTGCGTCCCATCTTCTTAGTGGACACCAGGCACTGTGGTGGAGTCCGGAGGTTCATCAGGCAGATACTCCAGTCATTACCACCGATTATTGATATGTTAGGTAAGTTTTTGAAATTGAGGGTCAATGTTGTTGAGGATATTTCGGTTAGTTTTATTATCTCGCTGGTAGAGCGTCGTAAATGCGGTTTGGGTAAACTTTTATTACATTTTCCGATCTTCCAATCCAAATTCTCAGCAAAAGTTCTTAAACTGGAAATAAAGCCTGTTCGTGCCAACAGGCTTTATTCCAGTTTGAACTTAACTGTCGAAAAGTAGTAATATTTAATGTTCAATAGAATGATTACAACAATAATGAACAATATGCTTCCCTGCCTACACTTCTGCAGAATAATAGAGAAATTATAGTTAAATTCCTCATTCTCCTTTTTTCCAGGGTTGCTGATGTTCTTCGTGGCTACATACTCACTGCTGGGTTACTACCTGTTCTCGGAGCACGTGGACAACGGACACTTCCAGACTATCAGCGACTCCTTCGTCAGCATGTTCGTCTTACTCACCACTGCTAAGTAAGTAAACAAATTTATTCGTAAAATGAAACCACAATCTAAAAAAGTTCATTAAAATTAAGATAGACCTAAACTGTCCTAAAACATTGGTGCTTAATTGAGGGATGGGTACAACAATCCTCTGAAATTAATTATTTTGCATCCGTTCAGCGATTAACGTTGAACGTCTTCCGCCGGTGATAGAGATGTTTCTAATAATGAACTTAAGTCCATATATTTAACAAAATTAAAACCATTTTAATGTAATGTAATTAAGTAAGTGATGAGTTTCTACATAACCAATGGATACATCAATGAGAAATTTATTCCTTTTGAAAATAACTGTAAAATAATCCAATAAAACCTGTTAATTTTCAGTTTCCCAGATGTCATGATGCCTTCATACGCGAAGTCCAAGTGGTACGCGGTCTTCTTCATCCTGTACATCATCACAGTCCTCTACGTACTCATGAACTTGGTAAGTCTGTAGGAATATTTATCTGATCTGAATTTCTGGTCCTTTTGTGGCTTGAAGGACCAATTTTTTTAAGTTCTTCTTGCTAAAATGCGAGTACAACCCGGTATTTTGCAATGGTCTCTTTATAGGACTTGTAGGTAGGTAAAAATTGCGAAAATTGGCATTTTTTGGGACGTTATGCAAATGGAATGCAAAGCCGAAGTAATTATGGTATAGAAGAATATAGTAGATCTTAGCGAATATTTGTAATTGTTTTTTAATGTGTTGCTCCACATTAGTATTTTCTCTTGTGTCGTTGGTGCATTTACAAACATACAAGTTCACATACACATGACACCCAGACCCGGAGCAACAATCTGTGGATGACACAAAGAGTTGTTCCGTGCGGGAATCGAACCCGCGGCACGTTGCCCAGCCACCGCACCAACCGTCCAGTCTATACTATATTTTCAAATTGACCACTTCAACCGCAATCAGTTTAGATTTAAGAAGTCTGTATTAATTCCCTTTCCTTCTGCCAGATGTTGGCGGTGGTGTACGAGACGTTCACCCGCATCGAGCGCGAGAAGTGTCGCGCGCTGCTGCTCCACCGGCGGCGCGCGGCGCGCCACGCCTTCAGACTGCTCGTGTCGCGCCGCGCGCCGCACGCCGTGCGTCTGAGGCACTTCGCGGGGCTCATGCGCCACTACGCACCGCATTACAGTCAGTATTTATTTATTTATTTATTTATTAACACTTCTGTATAACAAACATACGATGGCGGACTTAATGCCGGGTGGCATTCTCTAACAGTCAACCATGGGGTGATGCAGAGATGTGCAACAGTAGGTGTAATAGGTATAATGGTTTATGTGAAGCATAACTGTAAATACATACATATATCCGTATATATAGGTATAATGTAAATTACATAAGATACATTATCAATATTACTAAATAACAATACTATAAAAGTGAATAAATAAATTGGGAATAAAAATACATATAATATATATTTATAATATATATATATTTATACATATATATTAAATGCAATCGCCAAAATGATAAATTAAGTAGGTGATGCGTCTGTCTGTTCCCTCTGCAATAGTTCACGAACCTTAACTTTAAAACTAAGCCGGCTGGCAGTACAGACATTTCGAGACTGTGGCCTTAAACTTTATAATCAATCGTCTCCATATCTGGCAGTCGAATTGGAGGTCTTTTATATTACCTAAATTCATAACTAAGATGTAATACTCCAGATGACGTCTAATTTCTGCAATACTATCTGTAACACTTTCTACCAGCCCATTTCAGCTATCTAATCTTTTAAGCTATTTCAATAACTTTGTCAGTTGCGACTTAGTTGGAGCGACGATATCCACGTACTGCGCAATAATAGAATACTAAGCGCTGAAGATCACAAACGTCTCCTGCAGGACTCCGTTTAACACCTGGTCCCTTTTTCCCGTAGGTGGTCTGGACGTGTACCTAATGTTCAAGCAACTGAACCAGTCATCATCAGGCGGTCTGTCCCGCAGTGAGTTCTCCAACCTGTACGAGGTGTTTGCTCTGCGCTGGGCGGGCCAACAGTCGCGGGCGCCGTGGTACTCGCAGTCTCCACTAGAACCGCTCGGCAGGGCTGCGGCGGCCGCTGTACGGTGGCCTTACTTCGAGTATCTCATCTGTAAGTTTTTTGGGAAGGTTCGAGGATGGTATACTAATGTAATTACCTAACGGGTTACCGGTGTTCCGGCTCGAAGTGCAGAAGTAGGAACGGGGTGGTTTTTAGTCAGTAAGAGTCTGACACATCCTCCCGCCTCGCCCGTGCGGGAGCAGTAATAAGATGATTTTCCACCCTTAAAAAAAAAACAAAAAAAAATTATCTAAAGGAAATTATGTTATTTAACGTGCTTGTTGGAGAATGTGAGGGGCATTATAATACATAACATGCATGTATGCATAGGTAGAGGTGCACATTACGGCACTTAATGCCACTGTACAATGTAACACCCACTTTTCACTATTTATGTTATGAGTCCCATGTAATAGGGGGTGAGCCTATTGCCATATACCGGGCACAATTCTAAACTCCGTGCTATCACTGGGAAAATGTGAAGGAAGACTAAAAAACCATGACGGCTTCCTTTATGGCATATGGTACAGATGGCAAACAGACTGATCACCTGGTGGTAAGCAATCGTAGCTAACCATGGACATCCGAAATACCATAGACGTTACTAGTGCGTTGTCGACCTTGTAGAAGCTTTGAGGATTGGAAATTGAGGACGGGCCAATGCCCGGTAAAGTCATGACAAAATTTCATGTTTGCCATTCTTCGTTCTTCCTATTCGTATGTCTGTCAATTACTATTTTTTTTTTTCATTAGAATCCATTACCTCATGTATTTTCATTCCAGATGCCCTGATAGTGGGTAACGGTCTGGCGATGGTGCTCCGTGTCTGCGAGGCGGCCGGGGACCTGCAGGACAGTGCGCGACTACTCTGTGCGTCATGGGATACCTGGCTCTTCCTTACTTGTGAGTTCTGAATTGAATTGACAGAAACCTGTTGAGTACCTCTATTATAGTAGCATTCGTGTCTCATATTATGTCGTCCCCCATGGCGTTCAATGTGTTAAAAACCTACATATTTTTGGGATACCATAAATAATATTGAAACGTCATATTTTACCTACGTATTTTACGGGATATCCTAAATAAGCTATCATTTCAATATCTTGTGTCTCTTATAGACTTTATTAATATCTTCTATAGGTTGAAATTTTAAATTATGTTTTAATTTTCTATAGTATACCAAGTGTCAAAAAATAGAGAGGATTTTGGTCTGTTTGGGGCCTTGCTTTAGAATTATTTAGCTCATAGCTTTTCACACGGCTGTCATCACCACCAACTTCTAATTTTATGATTTTTCTTTCTCCCAGTATTCCTCCTAGAAGCAGCTCTGCGTATGATGGCATCAGGTCTGGCGGTGTACCTGGAGAGTGGATGGAACGTGTTCGACCTGAGCGTCACGCTACTGGCTCTCATGGGGGCCGTGCTGCTCAGCATTGCGCCCAAACTATTTATTGTTGTTATATTTAGACCTTTGAGGTAAGTAATGTATTATTGAACAACTTCGTTTTTTGAAAAGCATCTTCAAGACCCCAGTGAATAGGTTGCTTGTGGGCAGACGTGCTTCATCATAGACCGCATCATCGCTTATTACCATTTGATATAGTGGTCAAACATCCATCTGACAACACGGTTGGTGCATTGGTTGGGCAACCGGCTGCCGCGCAACGTGTAACGGGTTCGATTCCCGCATGCAACAACTCTTTGTGTGATCCACAAATTGCTGTTCCGGGTTTCCGGTGTTATGTGTATATGAACTTGTATGTTTGTAAACGCACCCACGACACAGGAGAACATCCAAATGCGGGGTTACGTTTAGAAAAAAATAAATAATCTAATATAAAAAATGAACTGGCCGAATTAAGAACCTTCTCCTATTTGGGAAGTTGTTTAAAATTAACTTTGATGGTCGTTATTTGAATTTTCTTTTTTATTTCTAATTCAATAATCTTTCATAACTGTTTACCCTACGACTTTAATTCCAGATTAATGCGTCTCTACAAATTGAAGAAGCGTTACCGCGATGTGTTCGGTACCTTGGTCCTCCTGTCTCCCCTTATGTCTTCAGCTGGGTGTGTGATGCTGGTCATGTATTACTTCTTCGCTATCATCGGCATGGAACTGTTCGCTGGCTACGATCTTAGGAATTGCTGCGTGTAAGTATTTATTTTTTTAGGGGATAAGGAGATATGCCCTATTCCATTCGGTGAGTATATGGATCACCTGATGGTAAGCAATCAAATCAGCGTCGTCCATGAACATTTGTTACATCAGAGAAGTTACAGCTTTTTGGGCTTTTGTTGACATCATTCACATGTCGAAATACACTGGTTTTTGGTAAGGACGTGCTATCACTCCGATTGAGCAGATTCGTTCATACCGATATTATCTGCGTAAGAGATTTATTCCTTGTTGAATTCCTTTCTTCCACACATTGGTGACCTAGATGTTGTATCCGCTAGCAAGTATGCCTTAACATCTTCCATCTTCCTAACCGCTATTTTACCTTATTCCAGCAACACTACAGTAGAGGACTTCTACAAGTACTCCCTAAACAGTTCGACGGCACTCGGCTACTACTACCTGAACAACTTCGAGAACATTGTCACCAGCGGAGTCACACTCTTCGAGCTGACAGTAGTCAACAACTGGTTCATACTCATGAACGCATACGCCACCGTCGCTGGACAGTTCAGCAGGATCTACTTCATGGTAAGCTATTTTCTTATTTGTCATCAGCTTCTCCAGCTTCTTGTGGGTCTTGTTACGACTGAATAACTCGTCGAGTACCGGTTTTGTAGACACAATTATAGAACAATAGGTTGCGGTCACCGATGACCGCTTGGTGTTTGACAGTTTAAGGGACATTTTACAACAACGCTCTCTGAAAAACCTGAACCTTTTCAAACTAGGATCTCTGATCTCCTTGCCAAGTGATGAGATTTTAGCATACCCTCTTATGCAGATCAGACCCATAGCCTAGCCCTAGTAGTAGATTGTCAAAGCCTATTATAAAGCTCTGGATCTTGTTTCTGGGTAGAATAAAATGGAGTTTAGGACAAGAGTAGGGCATTTATTATCTAGTAGTGTCATCTTATATTCTCGTCTTGTTTCCAGGTGTTCTACCTGTTCACGATGGTGGTGCTGACGATAGTGGTGGCCAGTGTGTTGGAGGCATTCCGGTTCCGGATACAGTACAAACGAAGCACTACTAAGAGAGACGGTGAGACCCTTTGCTAATAGTTTGTGACAAATTGGTAGCATAGAAGGTTCTTCTGCATTTGTGCTCATATGACAGGAGAAAGTATCTATGTTGAGCATTGTTTTTTCAATGAAAATCGTTTAGAAAACAGGGTACAGTGTTGGTGTCTAAGTCAGGTAGTTAGTCACGGAGAATCTAACGGGTAACCGGGGCTCCGGCTCGACGTGCAGGAGAAGGAACGGGGTGGTTTTTAGTCAGTAAGAATCTGACACTCCCTCCCGCCTCACCCGGGCGGGAGCAGTCATTCGATGATTTCTCCCCTTAAAAAACAAGTCAGGTAGTTAAGGATCCTTCCACCAGTTTATATATACAGTCATAGTACCATAATGCATTACCGTCTCTTGGCTTATTGTATGCATCCTAATTCTCTTATTCTGATCTTCAGAGGAGAAACTTCTTCACGAAGAAGTGCACACGAGTTGGGAGGAGGCTCAGAGGTTAGGGGCCAGTGGTGACCTTGCTGATGAGCTGAGGCCAAACCTACCACCGGGGGTAAGTTTTTTTTTTACTTTCTTCAATGCCAATATACGAACGTCTTCTTTTATTTTAATAATAAGAGCCATTTTGATATTCCTTTGACATATTCTGTTTATAACCCTTAATAGAGAACAGCTCTAAGGGTCGTCGTTCGCAGTTAACCATTTTTATGTTAAATGTTTTATTTGAATACTGGCTCAATAAATAATGTTGTTTTACAGGTGGAGGTAACATTCATCGGATCTCGACCTCGTACGAAGGAGGTGCTGCAGAGGAGAATGTACCAGACTGATATACAGAAGTGGCTGGCGGAGGAAGATGAGAATGAAGGTATTATATAGGATACCAGCACGGATTCCAATCTGCCAAATAGATTTTGAACTCTCTATCACCTCGTAGTAAAGTCGAAAATGGATTGTAGTAGATAGGTTTACTGCTCTATACAAGAATTTTTCATACTTCCAGGTGTCCCACCCTCAACGACAATAACATCAAGCGAGGATCCCCTGGCCCCGCCTCTCATCCACCAGCCAGATAGTGAGAACAACCACCAGATGAGAACAGGTTACCAATTGTAGAACATAATTCACTTAGCGCTGTACCACAGGCTAATGTTCTTCTGGGACGCAATCAAGAGCTTATGATGGACTCTCTGAAGATGGGCCCTCAGCTGGCTACAAGCTTGACCATGGGTACAGGACGCTGGCTAAACAAAATTGCCAGATAAAAAAAAACTTTCGTTTGGTTAGAAAAGGAATTGACAGTTGACAGCTTTCCAGGATTTGACGTTTAACTTGACGCAGTGATTTGTTTGTGAACGTATTCGAACTATTCCATAGATAATAGTTTTTACTTTTAATCGAGCAAAGGAATTTTGTACAGTTTACTTACAGCAGAACAAATGGAATACCAAAGATTCCATTTTTTATTATTAAGTGTGTAATTGTGTGTACTCCAAAATGTTGTTTAAGAGTTTATGTAGAGATTCTGTGTAGATTGCGTACCTTTCGTAGTTAGATGCCCTTACCCGCCAGCTACTAATACTCTGCCAGTTAGGACATTAATCGAGTAGAGTGAATGTATACTAAAATAATAATTATAATATATTCTGAGAGTTAGTTTAACAACTGTGATAGAGTTTTATGAAATTAAAAGAGGGTGTATTTGACTGTACAGGCAGTTGTATAGAAAGACTAGATAAATTCATTAATCATGTAAGTAGTCTAGACAGAGACATGAAGCTTTTTGAAAATCGTAGAAATGGCAGCTTTAATATTTGCCTCTCACTCTTATGTATTGCTGTGAGTGAGAGGCAGATAGTGGACACAGATTATAATGAATTATAGATAATAAATAGGAATTCGACTGTTGATAAGCTGATCTAAACAAGCTGTATTTTTTTTATATACAATCAATTAGAAAATTAGTACAACAAAGCATAATTTTGTAAAGTAGGTACATAATGGGTTTAGTTTATTACTGTAATAAGAATAATTGATCTTCTATAATAAGATTAATTCACATTAATTTTGGTTTTGTTATCTAACAGTTCAATTTTATAAACATAAAAAACATGATGATATTATTAAATGAATCGCCTTCGTAGGTTAGGTAAAATTAAATTAAAAGTATTCAAATGATCAACTCGTAAAAATTAGGAAATGTAGATGTTTCGATATGAAAAATAATATTGCAGAAAATTCTCGAATAAATGTTAAAATAATTGGCAAAAAAATACTGTTATTGAATGATTTACGAAATAACACTTGTCGTTGTTAAATAATTCTTAGCATGGAGCGTAGTGGTAAGAAGAGCAATCTTTTGAAGAATCAAACTAACCCATAAATCCCCATAAATAATTTCATCATAATGTGCTAAATAGGTTGTTTTATGTTATACGAATTAATTGACAAATTAGGCGTAGGTAATGCAAAATTGATCTTAGCAAAGGTTTCTTACAGATTTTTACACAAAGATCGTTCTTCTTATCTCTATACTCCATGGTTCCTTGTCTACGATCAACAAAGTACCCACTTGCCAAAGAGGTTTGACGCCATATTGTTTAGTGTTGCCATTTTGTAACAGATTTACAACAGGAGGACAGATTCGTCTTATCCTGATTCAAGATAATTCTTCCAATATTGTGTAAATAGGTTTAAATTTATAATTTAAACAAGATTTAAAGTTACAGATTTATGATACATTTTGTTGTCAATCTAACATTTTATTCATTTAGATATTTTGTTTGCCAACATAGTTTGGAGTTGTACATAAAATAGTAGATAAATAGTCATTATATTGTGATAACTACTTTAAATATGGACCATTGTATCGAATTATTTACACGCTTTATTTATTTAATTTTAACTTTTAACCAAATATTTTGTGATTTCCCTTTATTTTGGCTGCTCAGTATTAATTTTTGATGTGAATTGAATATCTGTTTACTTATAAACATGTTAATTTTTATTCTAATTTATTATTTTTAGTAAATAAAAAACGTTTAAACCCGTTTTTGTTGAATATTAAATCGATTTTGTATTTCTAAGTACCTAAATAACAATTTTAATGAGAGTGTGCATTGAATGTGTATTTATAGAGATCTAGCAGTCTACAATAAACCTATTTAGAAACAATAGTAATTAATGGCCATTAAATAATAAAAAAGTCTTATTCAAACAGTAGCTAAAACCGAATTTGCGATTTTAATAAATGTTTTCAAATAAATAAATGACTTAATAGACTTGCATCTAAAATAAATTAAAAATTAACTTAAAAGTCTTATATCGTCTTCGCCTTAGTAAATAAATAAACCTGTAAATACTATGCAAATGTTACCTGTTACATAATAATGTAAGTTTAGATCAACATTGTAATAATAATTGTTCTTGAAAAAAGTTACATTTGAATTTTCTTAAACTAGACTCTTAGACTAGAATCTAGAACCAATTTCCGTGCAAGTTAATTTGACCCTCTCTTTTGAGTTTGCAGAAAAGTCGGTATTTTTCATAGAGGAACTTTTTTGCAACTTGTACCTTTCTTTCACATTTGACAGACAGAGGTCGTTTACTTTCTGAGCTCCTATTGTAGCTTATGGTCCGGTTTGTCTAATGAGAATAAGCCAGTATCGAACCATTCACCACGGGCCCCATCCGCGGCTAATGCCGACACGGAGCCGAGAAGAGCGTAAAAGGTTACTGGGACTCCGGCTCGACGTGCAAGAAAGAGTAGGGGCGTGGTTTTAGTTAGTCAGATCTCTCCCGTCTCACCCAGGCGAGGCGGAAGACGACGAGACGTTTTCCCCCTTGAAACAAATATCGAGCCCTTGGAGATTGAAATTTTGGCAGCTATAGTAATTGGATACAGAACATTTTTTCCCGCCTTGCGTAATGCGAGAGGGTCAGTCAATTACTGACTTGAGACTAAATATCATACTGTTCCTACTCCTGCTTCTAGCCGGAGCCCCGGTAACCTGGTAGATAGACAAACAGGCCTCGCGTTATATTTGAGCCATCTGGTAGGCAAGACGCTCTTATTGAGACGCAATTTTTTATGGTATGAATAAGTGACAGAAGTATGATATTAATGGTGCTTACGCTTGTATGTCCTATTTCGGAGGTAGATATTTGATAAAATAGCATAATAATTAGATATAGGAGTTAACCCCCGAAAATACATGATTATTAATAAATAAAAGCTATTTATTTTGTGAACTTCCTAATTTCTAAACATTTTAAAAATTAAGAGAAAATCTTATTCGTTGATTGTTTAACTACAACAGTAAAATTACGCAGTTATATTTTTCTTTTTTATATTGTTGCAAAAAGGGCACAATACATAATTATACAGTCTTGTTTTTATCCAGGTATACTAAAAAGCCTTGATGATAACTAACTACGGTGGCTTAGTCAGATATATTTTCAACTTTATTTTAATGACATAAGGTTTAAAATCTACTAAACAAACGACTAATGCCGGAATACTGAAACGTTACTCAATTTTAAGTCGTGCTTAAATATCGTGCCATCTCTGTCTTTTTACAGAGAATTTGAAGTGACAGAACTATACTTAAGCGTGACTTAAAATTGAGTAGCGTTTCAGTATTCGGGCGTAAGTAACCAAATTGAAAATAAGGCCAGTCAATACTTTATAGAATTTGATTGATAGAATTGATGTACTCAATTGCTTTCCTAATTTCTAATAATACGCACCCGTAGATGTACTCAATTAATTTGATTTTTCCAGTATTATATACCATTAGAAAGAAATTCAAATTATTTAAGACACTAAATGTTACATATTTTTTATGGAATATAATTCATTTACCTACCAATTTCAATCAAGACAGTTTTATAAATATGTAAAAATGGATTGTTTCAAAGAGTGAATATTCGAATGTAGACGCCAGCACATTAAGCTACTCTAATTTGTAAATGTATTTTCAACTTTTAATAATTTTACAATAAGGTATAAAGTCTATTAAAGAAGATGTATAGCAGTATTAAACGTTGATTTCGCGTCACAAGCTTAGTAATTTAATAGAATCACTTTGTTGACATGCAAGTGTAGTTGTAAAGATGTGTTAATTTATTCATAAATAAATGCACTTTTAAGTACATGTAAAGCTTTTTATTTTTTCTCTACATATTTATGAGTTAAGACTAAGTGAGCATTAGTGTTTGTGATTATTATCGAAGGGGAATATATAAAATAAAAAAAGAAATAATATTCAAACATTTTATTCTGTTTCCAAAATTACTAAACTTTTTATTTACTCAACTTTTCTAAAATACAATTTTCATTATTTTATTCAGCACCAATTAACACTAAATTATTGAGCGCGACAATATAAACACGTACCTACTTAAATATAATAAAATAAACTATTTTGAGACAATAATACCCAAGACAGTAATCTTTCGATATTATAGGAATGTCCTATTTTGAGAAAATGTCGCTAAATAATTTTTCCAACAAACTTATTAGGAAAACGCGGGAAATATTTTTTACAGGCAGCAACACTGGCTCCGAACCATAGAGGTTTAATAACATGAATGTCTGGGAGACATGTGAAGCGGTTTATATTAGTTTTTATCACAAATACATTGGAATAATTACAAAATAAGGAATAAGCAGTCTCGTGGAAGACATTCGCATGATATAGGTACAGTATTTTCACAATATCCATTGCACACTGAGAAATATCATAAAATTACATGAGACTTTACAAATAATTTACTCATCTAAATATCCATAGAGATGTGTGCAATTTTACAATAATCAGACTATTATTATGTTTTCACAAAATCATAATTTCTATCTACAATAACTGCTGCAATGAATAAAATAATTTTCGAAAAGAATACTTCATGATTTTTTTGCACGCATACTGCGATGAAAAAAATCAAGCGAAACTTTGAACAATTGTTTCTATTTCCCTACTGCCACTTACAAATAACAACGAACATCATTATTTAAATTATTATTCGATTTTTATTTACACAAACCATATTCATTCTAAATGTATAATAATAAGGACATTTATAGCAAATATATTCAGAAATAACCACTCACGAGTGAATAGTACTTTGTGGTCTCAAAGTGTTGCATACTAAATGAAGCATAATTTACGTTTTCAGAGCGGTACTCAATTTATAATTCAAATATTGAGTATTTAACGTAACGCTCCGCCTGTTACTAATTCAAAGACTTCACTAGTTCTTTAATGGATCCCAAGTATAATTCCGGGCTCCATGATGGTTACAGATAATTCATCCACAAGCCAAAATGAAGTCAATTAAAACCTACGTGATTTGCGACCACAAAATACTAATTACTCAAAACACCCGTAATAAATTATGAAGGAAAAAGGTGGGTACACTATAGAGAAATTAAACTAATAATATAATAATTATTAATATAATTCTATAATAAATATAATAATGATAATAATAAAATTAAATATTGGAACTGAATATTTCGACATTGAGTCAAAATTGCCACAAACTGGGAAATGCGTGATTCACTTGTGAGAATCAAACCATAGACGTAAATTGTTAAATTCCTTTTTAGAACATGCATTTTATAAATTACGTAACGTCTAATCACTCTAACATGCAAGTATTCTTTGCATAATATTCCTTTGTTTTTGATACTTTAAATTCGTACCGGGCAAAACCCTGATATCCAAATAAGCCTTGATCAGTAAAAAAAATATGATAGATACTGGTGTAATGCATTTGATGACAATTTTGACGTATTCATTAAATAATTACGTATTGTACTGTTTAAGTATAAATATACAACCAGTTTACAAATATTGATTACATAACAGTATTGTCTATAAGACATATAATCGCTTGAATCTTGTAAGAAGATCAAATGCAAGATGGCAAGCCTTTGTAGATGTCTTTTGTAGCCTTGAAATTGCGCGACAGTTGCTACAATAGTGGCGCAACTGTGGCGCAACTTTAGCAACGATTTATTTTACAAAGACCCTAAAGAAGTTTCCGAGGTAGAAAATATTATACGAATAGTTTACACAGACCTTTTATATGACAGTAGTCGTAGCACATGCTTCCCAATAGAAAATATTACAGGAAAGACATGCCCATTCATCCATTATACACTTCACTCTCAACATATCGAGTTTGTAAACTCAGCATTGAATTAAATATTAATTCTATAGAAAAGCCTTTTCATTGATTCAAAGATATTATCATTTGAATCTACAAAAGAGATTACATCATGAGGTTTTACAGTCACTCATTGCACTTATCGGACACCAAACCCACATCCCGAGCTAACGCTGCCCATCCATAATACTGTAGTTGTATTGTGACTACATTTAACGTACCCAGGTACATAATTCGACACAGACCATATCCCTCCCCCGTCCAAAGACAGTTCCTCACTTTGCTTAATAAGCAATATCTTTAAAAACTGTCTCAATAAACACTAAAACTCCTAGTACCCACGTGTATACTAATTATTTGTAGTCAGAATAAACAAGTGTGGCACGATAAATCTTTGATAAGTCGCGCGATAGTTGGGCAACTTGTCGTGCGACACTTGTTTGTTTTGATTTAAATAATGTAGCATAGAAGTTGAGACCGTGGCTATGAGAGGCGCGGGCGTTTGCCTGGCGCTCGACGTCACATCTCGATGGAGACGCCGGGCCCGCCCAGCCGAGTCTCTTTTACACGGAACCCGTTCTCCAAGAGTTGACCGCAAAGGGAATCTACTACGGAACGCGGCGTTGATGGGGGTATCAGTACCATCGCGTATCTGGAACAAAAAAAGCAAATTTTGTTAGACAAGAAAGAATAAAGTTACACATAGCCAACAAAACTGTTCAAGTAGCTTTTGAGTTTCTTATTCAGTCCGAAAAAGTCTTATTTTTATTATATGTTAGTATTTTAGACAATTAATCAGTAAATCATTTTCTTTACACATATCCACTATCTGAATAGTTTTCTAGTAATTATGTAGGCAAGTATTAAATATTTAATTGTGTAAGTAGTTACATCATTCTTTTACAGTTAATTTACAATTTATTACTATTTACTACTTCTACGCTGTAACACTTCTTAAAATTGAATGTTAATTACTAATTTAATGTTGTGGTTTCTTCATTGTTATTATACTTGTTCACAACCATAACAACAATTTTATTGTTCATTTAATATTAAAAAATGTTACTTTACATAAAACGGATTTTTAAAATCTTAAAACATATTATGTTATTAAAATCAACAGTTTATTACAACCACTACTGTATTATAGATTACCTCTACTTATTAAAGGGGTTTGTCATAGTTTTAAAAATACCAACCCGCCTGAGCAAACATGGCGATAAATGCTCAAGCCTATGCTCAGAAGTGGGCACTTATAGGCTGTGTGATGAAGACGATGTGCCATAATTTTCAGTCTTAGTAAGTTGGTTAAAAATATTAAAAGGTTCATGTTTATCAGATGACATTTCTACCCGGTCTCTGTTAAATGTGTAGTTCTCTTACGCATGAATACTGAAACGCTAGTCTGTATTTAACATAGTTCTGTCACAACAAATTCTTTGTAAAATGACAGAGATGGCACGATATTTAAGTACTACTTAAAACTGAGTAGCCTTCCAGAATTCGGTTGTGAATCGACTCTTACGGAAACCACACAAGAGTAAGGGTGGTATGTTGACAAATGTTTCTATTCTACATACATACTGTTAGCCGACGAAAATCAACTAAATGCGTTCATTTAGTGATGTTTCACTATCTGTATTATTGACAGCACTAGCTGTCATTTTGATGATGTCATCTGTCAAACGTGACAGATTAGAAAGTTTCCCGCGCAAAGAGTCGTAACGTTCGATTCTGGCGGGCATCACGCTGTGTTCTTATAAGAATCCGTTTAGACTTTAGAATTAACTTTTCAGTATTCAAGTATTGAGTTTTACTTAAAAATACACATTCATAAACTCATGCCTGTCTCTCATAGAAGTAGGCAGAGACTATGGAACGCCAATTGATTCTTACATACACCTTTCGCTTCATCAACAGTCATCAGTATTCTATTATTATTAGTATTCTATTCTGCTACAACAAATACATCTAAACATGTTTTATGCTCTTATCTAACATTTATTTTATAAATAAAAAGAAATTCAAGTTCTATACAAATCCGGTTTTCGGAATTTTATAAAGTCGTTGAACTTTTAATACTAATGACGATGACGAATCATTATTAACATTATGTTTATTAGTTATTGTGAACGATTCTGTATACTAAACAGTAAACGAACGGGCTTCAAGTGCTTGAATAAAAAATGAGAATGATTCTGTACAAGTTAATTTTAAGGTAAGTAGGTACTTACTTAAATTATTCTGTACCTTTAACAGTATTTGGTCAAAAACCTTTTTAATTTTAGGATTCGACATAAGTACTTACGTATTTTTTTAGGACTTATAATAATTCATTTTCTTTTGTTTATTGCTGATAAATGCAAAATCGATTTTAAATAATTGACGATAAAGTATAATTTAATTTGT